TAGCAATGGTTGTTAATTTAATAATCTTTTGAATTTATATTCAGTTTCAGATATTGGCAAGATTCTAAATTATTTTATTTTTTTTTAAAATACATTACTAATGGATTCTTAAAGTAGATATGGAAATTATAAAATACAAAATGTACAAAATGTTACAATTAAATCAATATTAATTTTAAAGGGAACATTCGTTTGGTTTATAAACTTATTCCAGAATTATCAGAACAACAATTACATATTATAATTTATTGTGTTTTACTAAAGGAAATACCAAATTCTACAAGTGGGTTAATGATTTGTTAGTAATTCATTACTCACATGTCATTTTGTTCTATTCTTACGTACCTGAAACAAAGAGATGCTTTTTAATGAGAATGTTTTCGAACAAAGCAATAGAAAATAAATATATTGTATAGTGAGTTATAAATATACGTGTAGTACGATATAAAAAAATAAATTAATCCGATAATCTAATAAATCCTTCCTCGTAGGAATGATATTGAATTCCGAACTCCAAGTTCAGGATCGATTTCCGTCTTTATGCAATAAAAATGTATTCTAATTTTCTTTTTCATCTTTCTGTTTCACTTCAGCCTCTCAGCTTAGAGGAACCTCTATATACCTGAACCAGTCCTCTGTTTTGTGCCATCATCCTCAGACCTCTGATGGTTTTTAATCCTTTTTCAACGACCAGCCGTGTGATACATTCGTTGCGTAACATCCTAGGTATGATATCCTTCATCGATCGGGAATAATATACTATTTCTATTTAGTAAGTATTTTTTATGCTGTTGAAGTGATATGTACTATCTCTGCTCTGCAATTATTTTATCTCATCTTTATCGATGTCTGAATTGGTGGAACACTGACTGATTGGTCAGTGGTTCACGAAACTCGGGTTCGGTTTATTTTTATTTGTAATAATAATCAGTAATAGTTTTTTTCTGTCACTAATTCATTAAAAATAATAAATCATTCTTATATAACGTAAAATTATACATTGATTCATGGAGCGGGGTACCTCCATGAGCAAGGCACTGATCTCCTTAGTTAAAGAACCTAACAGTCCGGCTGTAGCAATTAATTATTTATTCTATTATGCGTTTCAACCTTGGGTTTAAAAAATCATCCTCAGGCAAAGCCAAACTATATAAAGTATTTACTATTAATGAAATAATTGATCTTGGAGGAAATATTGGGCATATCTTTGCCCAAACACGTTCCTGCATATCCGTTGGCTTTGAAACGATACTTTTATTACCTATTTTGGTTACAATTAAAAGAGGTAAAGTAAATTCGTTTGATGAATACATTTATTTTAAAAATAACAACGTAATTGGTAAACAAATTAGTAACTATGCCAATAGAGGTTTGACCTCTGTCCTCACATGGTAATCATTCACTTATAATATTTCATTAATTTTACAAGGAAAATGTTAAAATTAATCATTAACTCATTAATATTAACATTTAAGACTAGTTACATTTACATACTAGAAGGCCAAGTTTGACCATCTAGAGACCGTCTTAAGACACCGTCTATAGTCCGTCTAAAGACACTGTTCTTTGTCATACATAGCATACACACTACGATGTGGAGAAGTTCACAGACTCATCTTTGCAGTCCTACACAGAAGGTATTGTTTTGTGTGAAATAATTTCCTGCTTAGCGCAAATTACATGTCAAAGAACGCGAAAACATAAACGTTAGTCAAACGCGAAGTGCTCGAAGAAAGACCTAGGTTCGGCAATTCATTATTAAATAATTTAAGAGTAGAAATTGCCATGGATTTTGAAGATTTACTGGAGACAGAGATGATGTGTCTCACCTCCAGAGGCCAAGTGACGTCCGCACTGTCAAAATGTTGTGCAACATGTCTGACGTTGCATGCAGTCTCCTATTCCGAATTGGAGACTTTAGACCTGCAATTTTTTGTCTCGCAAAGGGGCCTTAGGAGTTTTGGTCTGTAGACATGTCTACATAGACAACCTGAGATACGTTTCAAAGACCAAAATCGCAAAACATGTCTACCGGTGTGGACTAGGCTTAACATTAACCCAATAACCTATTATAGTCTCCTTTTTCTTATTATATTTTTAATAAATCATATGGTGGTATGTTGGCACAGGTTTTTATATATCAATCCATTGCAATATAAGAATATCTTTTCGTAATCGTTATTAATTACATCATAGATTTTTTAAATAAATAAATTCTCAATGTAGATACATTTCAATGAATTCTTCCTCCAGTTATATAAAAAAAAATATTTTTTGCTTACTCTCATCGATCCCTTTTTTGGTCGATGGCCGTCCACGTTTGTGCACTTTGATTTTATTTTCAGCTCAGTGAGGATATGGAATAAAATATATACAACGGGATCTTCCGTGTTTTAGCCGCCGAGTGGTAACACAAAATAAAACAAAGAAAGAACTATGCAGAATAAATGGTATTTGTGAGGGGTTGAGAGGTGCCCTATATCATTCAGTCAGAGGGAACTGGCACATATATTTACAAAATATATTGAGTGAACAGGCGTTAGGAGCAGACGCTATATCCCTTCAAGGGCCCCAAACTGCGGCCGGTGTAAATTGTCAACTGAGATTTTCAAAACCAACCCTTTTCCGAGGGAGCGCCATATTTATTAGCACAATATTTCACGCTAGGAGTCAGCTCGGAGAATTTTTTTTTTATTTTTCGTTTGCAGGCCGTGGCCTCCATCCCGTGAAACAAGTAAAGCTCTTATCACTATTTTATTTAGCACATATGAAGGGCTTCACCGCTCCAATTTCCACTCATCAGAGCCTGTTTCTTTTTTCTTTTCTGCTTTCCATTAGGGAGGAATTGTGATGATAATTTTTTTACACATATATATTTAATCGGTTTATTAACCTTTTTTATTCTTATTTTGGCATAGATAATTTTCTCGATGAACTCATGACATAGCATTAAAGAAAAGAGAATGGATTATATTTCTTTCAAAATATAATTTAAAACTTTCAAAATTCTTCGGCATAATAGAAAATATATAATGATATAACATTACATAACCTTCCAACTAGAGATTTCCACATAAATATAATACAGTCGTTGGATATAACATAAACTAGTAAATATCAATAATTTAAATAAGTAAATTACAAATCATTAAGAACATTTTTAGAGTAAACTTGCTTTGATGTCTATGTTTTATGCAATGGAACTCTGTTATTAACTTTTAACTAAATTATTTCTTACTAAACGAAATTAAATTAATTAATCCTAACGACAATAAGTGGCGCTCCACTTAGTCCAATCATCAGTGATCTCAATAACCTAAAATCAGATAGTGAAAATGATGTAAAAAACTCAATGGAGGTGGATCAAATGCTTGAAAGAATAAATAACATAGACAACAGGTAAATATTGTTTGGTCTGTTTTGATGTAGAACATTTATATACAAATCTCAACTGGAAAGGTGTAATAAAAATAATTGAAAAATACGAGGATATAACAGAACCACATACCCAAATTAAAGGGTTTTATGGAAGATATGGATTAAAATATCTCAGAACCTAAAAATCGAACCTGCATACTGTAAGCGAGGAAAAGGTTCAGCATTTGACCCTCTTTATAATGAGCTATTATTTATAGTTTATATTTCATATTATTGATCTCGTCTCGTCGGCTTTCACTTCTATCGTGTGGTTTAAAGCACATACCTCAGTTTTTTTCCTGTGTTTTACATATGCACATAAAAACTTACGTTTCTGCCGTAGGTGTGCGCCATCTACTGTATAGTTATGTGTCTTTAAAAAATTGGTTTATAGTTTGATAGCATTTGTTTTAACAAGACGTTTCTCTCTATTTTTATGTTACCATTCAGGAAGAAAAAACATAATAAATATTCCTGCTCAACTACTTAAGAATAAAGAATAACACGTATGTAAAAATGAAGGACCAGTGTCAGTTAGAACCTTATGTACGTCAGAATAAGATGTCGCATGATCCTGGATACTTGAGAGTGAAATAATCTGAGTATTATACATTTCAAAATGAGAGGACCCCCATACCAGACTGAAACGACTTGAAACCGCCCGACGTTTTCGACTACTGCAGCACTCACTAGACAAACGCTCTAAGCTCACAATCAATTACAAACGACTCATATATATGACAATAATAAGACCTATTTGGACTAACGGAATTGTGATTTGGGGCTCCACTAAACCATCGAACTCCTCTCTTATCCAATCCTTACAATACAAAATCCTTCGTAAACGCAAAACAAAAACGCTCCTTACTTTGTCACAAATAAAATCATCCATAAAGACCTTAATGTTCCATATGTTTCCGATTTGGCCCAATCCAGATATATATCCTTCCATAACAAACTGCAGAACCATCCGAATCCTCTTGTTTCATACCTTGCTCCCTACTCGATCCCTGATAATCCTCCGAGGCGTCTGAAAAGAAGATGGCCTCGGGACCTTCCAATATAGAACTTTAATTTGAGTTCTACCAATGGGTAGTTTCTCTTCATGTTGTACATGTCATGTTACCAATGTCACATTTACTTATTGTATTTTCCATGTAATACAGTTGTAAATCTCAATAAAATAAAATTTAAAAAAAATGAGAGGTTTCCTTAACTTTATGTTTGATAATTTATTTATTAGTTACTACTGCGTGAACCAAGCAGAAATGATTTGAACATTGATTGTTAATACTAATGCATAACTGCTCCTAATAGTAACGATTCTCGGCTCTGAAGGTATGTGTTGCAAGTGCCCGACCTTAAAAATTGGTATAATTCATTTAAATCATGTCACCAATATAAACAAAATCTAAATAATCTGTATATGTTACGTCAACAGCAAAGCTTGGATAAAACGTCCTTCCAACATGCCAGCAATATTAATGAGAAATATTGTACATTTATTAAACGATAATTTAGAAGAGCAATCTGAAAAGCGGTAATTAAAAACTATTACAACATGATGTAATATGAAGTCATATGTTTTCATTATCTTATGACTTATTTATTGTTTATTTTAATGTTAATTGGCTTTGCACTTCATATCATATTTAGATTATCATCTTATCGTACAGAGGTAATATACAATTTCGATGGCATTCTCAAAGTGTAAGAGCGGTACAGCGATAGTAGAAGAAACCCGACTTTCGGATCCTCAACATAGTATTAAGGGGCCTGCAGAGTTACTGAGGGAACCTACATTAGAAGAAGTAGCCTCTTACATAAAGGAAATCAAACCTTTAAAAATAGTAGTGATATCAGGCGGAAGGATATCCACCCCGCTCGGCATCCCTGACCTTCGAAGCCCTGATGTAGGATTTTATCACGCCCCTTTCGATGGGGAATGTTACTGCTGCGACGTTTTGGACAGGGAGTACTTTATAAAAAATCCTGCTCCTTTATATCAACTTACATCTTTCATTTTGGAACAAACTTATCGACCAACGTTCAGTCATTATTTCATCTCATTCCTAGAGCACAAGAAGTTGCTCCTGAAAAATTACACGCAGAACATGGACGATTTAGAAAAAATAGCAGGGGTTACCAGATATACACAGGTTTACGGCAGCTTCTATTCATTCGTGTGCATCAAGTGTAAAAAAGAATATTCCGTAGAATGGGCCCAAAAACGGCTTTTTATGAAGAAGATAATGATGTGCACGAATTGCGCTTCGCTAATAAAACCTAACATATTATTGAACGGGGAAGAATTTCCATTGGATATTCATGAAGAATTTGAAGAAGATATGAAGAATTGCAAATTGTTAATAGTTCTAGGCTCCACCCTGAGTACTGAACCTTCGGCCACTATATTGCGTGGAATCGATGTTAAATTTCCCAGAGTCTTCATAAATGACGTGGAACCATACGATTTCTCCGATTATCATTTCTATTGTGATCACGAGCACAACGATGTTATGTGGTTAGGCGACATCGATAGCACCTGCAAGAAACTAGTAAAACTGATGGGATGGTGTCAGGAACTGCATGAGTTTGCGGAAGATAAATTGATGGAACCAGGAGAATGTGAGACAAATATTTAACAAATATTTTTAATCACTTAATGTGATTATCACATTTACCAATTCTGAGCTAATATAATTTAATCAAGTATCTCTTCACTAACTAATTGTATCAAATATCATATTTGCGATTTCTAAATTTTCCATTACATCTACGCATTGACATTTTATTTTGTTTATGTTGAAAATAAAATAATTCTTCGGTATAGGAGGAGAAGTATTTTTTTTATTTTTTAAAACAAATTTTGATTGATAATTCGATCTACCACATTGAAGAGCAAATAGTATTTGGGCTTATGTATTCATTAATACAATAAATTCATACTAAAGAGAAATAAATATTTAAAGAAAAGACGGTCATAAAAAAAAAAATTATATTGTGGAAACTATCTATTAAGCCGCGTTTCGACAAAACTGGTAGTGGAGTATTTATTTTACATCATCAGCCGTGGATAGATCGTGGGGTCGGGTGACCCTCCTGGGGCACACACAGCCTCTATTTAAGTAGCTATCCTTAATTAAATAAATGCTTAAGAGGAAGAACATGGCGGATGAACGTTGTATCGGTCAAACCACAACTTGCACAACCGTTGACCAAGAGACAGTACTGCCCCTAAATAGTACTGAACCCAAGAATCTTCCATGGATTATAGTGGTACAAGTGTTTTTTCTTCGACACAACTATGAAAGTCTTCATTAGACCTATTTTTAAGAAGAGCTTCTGTGAATAACTGATCATTTCTCTGTTTCGGGAACGGAGGCCTTTTTAAACTCCCTCATATATTGGATCTACCTCAGATTGTATTAACTGAAGGACTTACAACAAATAACCATTTTCAATTCTAGATGAACGTTATATAAACACACAATATTGGTCAGTCGATTGAAGACCGTTGCTTTATATAGGACAATTTAATTAAAAGTGGCAAAATATGACGTATCATTTAATGGGAGAACTGACGGCTGCAGTTTTGATAGGATTTATAGAATGTGATCCTAAAACAGAATTCATCATGACTGACGTACTCGGTTGTATTTTGAAAACTGATGGCGCATAGGCCATCAAATCAGTCCAGAATAATGGTAATTATATGTGGGAAATTACAAACTGTCGGCTCATACTCGAGTTTATGCCAATCATACATATAGAATGTATAAAAGCTTATTGTTTATACATTATATCGATGTTAAGAATGTAGTTAAATTAGCCGAATAGAAATATTTGATAGAAACCATTATAACATAATTCATCTTAACCGATGTACTCGGTTGTATTTTAAAAACTGATGGCGTCAAAGTCATCAAATCATTCCAGTATATTGGTAATTGGATGTGGGAAAATACAAACAGTCGGTTCATACTCGAGTTTATGCCAATAATACCTATAGAATGTATAAAAGCTTATTGTTTATACATTATATCTATGTTAAGAATGTAGTTAAATTAGCAAAATAGAATCATTTAAAAATTAAAAATTGCCTTAATTCAGTGCGGCAGCTACTACAATATATTAATGTTGCTCTTCAACAGTCGCTTATCTTTTCAAATATTAACATATTTACATGAGATGTAGAGAAAACTTAATGTTTTCTTAAATTAAATATAATCGATTTCTCATAGAAATTCATAGATTAAGAGTTATTAGGCGGCAAACTCGTCGAAGACAGCTTTTTCTTGAGAGGCACGCAAAACACGCAAAATATTGGTCTAACTCCTACAATAAACCAGGTGTGTATGAAATTTTATCTTCTTTGGTTTGGTATAAAGTAATATTTTCGATAAAATGCATATTTTTGGAGTCATGGTCAAAAAACAAAACAAAAATAGTGCGAATTTCGCTGGGTTTTTTTTAGATATATCGCGGAATGCAACGGATATTTTCGATTGTGAACTTCAAATTCAGATTCAGCATCTCAAACCACAAAAAAAAAAAAAAAACAACAGAGAAAGCTACAATTTGATTTTTTTTTCTACACTCAATTGGACTGATTTGATGATTTTGACACAATAACTTTACAATTCGCAACCGAGTACATCGTCAGTGAAGATGAATTCTCTTTTAGGAACACATTTTTACATCTTATCAAAACTTCAGTTTTTATATTTATTTATTTTTTTATTTGTTTCTTTAGAAATATAATAATCTGTCACGTAAACAATAATTATAGTGATACATGATCGCATTCACACCGTACATACAGAAAATATAAAATTAACAAAAGTAAAATAATAATCAAAAACTAGGTACAATAAAAATAAAATAACACAAAGATGAGTAAATTAAAAACACAAAAACACAGTCATATCTGTAAACAATATATACATATATTTAAATTAGAGTTTGGAATCGATAATTATTTTTACCATCTGAATCATACTTTCATAGACTTCTTATTAAATATACGAAATCACGTTTTTATTTAGTTTATTGTAAATATTATTAGTACCTACATCGAGATTTCCATGAATTTCGTATATCATTCTTTATTGAATATAGGAATAAATTAAGTTATTTAGTAAAGTTATTTTTATTTCTGCCACCTTTATTATATTATTATTATCATATGTTATGTTCGAAATTAGAAAGCATGATAAACACAAACTTGCCTTTGAGAAAAAAAAAATTCAATTAATTAATCCTGGACCAATCAACATAATATATATTTAAATTTCTTTTACTAATTTTTTATTAAATATTTCTGGATATATAACTATTTACTAGCATTCCGAATAAGGTTCCCACCTAAAACAGAGCACTGCATTATATACATGTACACACACACACACACACACACACACACACACACACACACACACACACACACACACACAAACACACACACAGAAATAAAGATGTTATGTTCTTAATAGTTGGCAGCAATATTCTCTACCTACTACTCCAGACTCAAAATGTAGATCATAGAGATTACAAAAACCTATATTTATGATTTAGAAAAATATTACTGGAGAACTATTATTATTTTTAATTGTAAAAATTTATTAAAAAATAATGATTACGATACGACATGATTTTGTATATATATATATATATATATATATATGATTTTTGATCACTTGGAATCAAATATAATAAATCGCTCATAATAAAAATCATCAAATGATTTTTAAAAAATTTATGATTTGGTTTTTATTTTTTTAATTATTATTTTCAAATCCTGATTGAAATATAATATTCTGTTTAGCTTGATTTATATTAATTTTATTAGTACCCTCTGATCACTCTGATCTCTTCATTTGTAGTGTGGACGTTTTTGGTAAATGGTGCTAACATAAAAATGAGAATGTTTCCAGGAAATAATTGGAAACTTATTAATAAAATGTAGATTAATTTTCCATATTTATATAATTAATATGTAAATGGGCTAATAGACTGAAAGAAAATTTTAAAAATATAATTGACTTACACACATCCGGCCAACAAAAAAAATAATGTATTTTTATCATATTACTCCAAATATGTATTTTCTTTATCCAAAATTTTCTCAGATGATCCTACTAAATACCGTGAGGTGTTGAAAAACTTTGCAACAATTTTCAAGCATCACGTAATGATTAACCGCATGGTTGTAGCCTGACTTTATTAGTGAGGAACGGTTGAGAGGTTTTGGTTTGAGGTTCAATTTGTGGTTAGGATGAGGTTGCTTTCTCACCTACCACTCAACTTCATAGAACCTTGTACCTACTTCATATATCAGCTTGTTGCAAGCTGGGTGAAATTAAGTTATAAACAATCTTGATAGGTCTTAGGTATGTAAAAATATATATATATATCAGGTTTCCTTTTTTTTTTTCCGCCAATTTTTAATGACATCAAGGGATGTTGTTGGACAAATAGTACATTAATTCTTATTGATTCTTAGATATTGATATCAGATGTAGTTTGTTTTTTTTGAGTTTTCACAAATTTCAATTTATTATTTTTTTTTAATATATAACAAGCCTTTTTGAAAACTATTATGTATACCTAACTTTTTTTTTGTTTTCCCCTTCTTTGCCTTTTAGGCTATACGAGTTTTTTTCCGTGCCAGGGGGTAAGAGCTAAGAGGGAGATTAATGCCAGAGTTAAAAGAGCCTCTCGACATCGAGACGGGGTAATGATTTCAATCAAATTATCTTATATATCAGGTTGCACGCGTTAACCCGCTCGGCCACCCCGCCCCCAAAAGTACATGATCGAATCAGTTTCGAACCGAGAACCTTTACAGTTAGTGTCTGGCATTTTATCCACTGGACTTACTGATTAATGTATGTCTAACTATAAATAGAGGACGAGATAGAGCGGACATGTTGGAACGTGGGTCTCCAAGTTCCCGATTCTTAACGTTGTGGGTTCGATTCCTACCTGGGTCGGTTAATTTCTCAGCGACCCCGGTAAATGATCCTTGACATTCCCACTCTGGCAAGCACGCAGCCTCAAGGTAGGCGTCAGAGGTTGGCAAAAAGTACTATGCCTTGCCAGACTAGTTCCTCCCACCAGTGCTTGTACCAGCAACTATAACTATAATTCCCTGATGAAGACTTGCAATGTGGGTCGAAACGTCGGCAGAAAAATTAAATTATTCTGTTTCTATAATTTAGTATTTATTTTACCGCACCTCCCTCTCCCCCCTCCCCCGATCAACTCCTTCTCATAGAACTATAATTAATGAGATAGATTTTATTATAATTTATTTTGAGACCTAATTTTTAAAAATGTATTTATTGTCTCGTTTTCTATTTAACGTATCAACCAAATTTAGGTGTTTTGTATTATATTATAAAGGGTAATTTGGCAAATGAAATGGTTACAATGATTTTTCTGACAATACCTGAAAAATATTTATCTAATTTCATACATCTGTGGCTCTAGTGCCCTCTTTCAGTCTCCATTGGCTTCTAATACTAGTGATGCGGCTGGAAAAGTGGCACTGGGATCTCCTGGGGTCTTGCTTTGCCTTCCACATGTGGGGGAAAAAGCCTGGCTCGGAGATTCCTGGGCGAATGTATATATTGTATATAGGTATGATTGTGTTTATAAGTTTCTTTTTATGTTATTGTTTACTTTTTTTTTTCTTCTTCTTTTATTTTCTTTCTTCATCAGTATTATTTATTTACTTTTTATATTTATATTTATTTCTCTATTATTTGTACATATTGTTTGAATGAGAACTCTTAGCCCTAATACTTATAGCCCTTCAGTGGCTGATTGTATTATT